ATGTAAGATCAGAAAAGTAAAGCCACTTTTGTACAACCACAAGACTGGGATCCTAATTAGAATAAGATACACTTCATGTATGTATAAATATGTCAAAATATAGTCTACTCTCATCTTTATCTATAATGAACAAATAAAATAAAAAGTGACAAATCTGTAATGAGACTAAGCAGTAAAGAGAGAGAAAAAGACACACATACAAATAGGTAAATATGTAAATGAAAGAGGAGACATTACAACTGATACCACACAAAAATACAAAGGATCATTTATAAATCTTGTGAAAAACTACATGCCAACAAATTCAGTAATCTGGAAGGAAGAGTAAATTCCTAGAAACATAGCCCCTTGCCCCAGACTTAATCATTAAGACAGAAAAGCTGTACAGTAGATAAGTGAGAAATAAGATCAAAGAAACAGTTGAAAGTATTCCGATGAAGCAAAGATTTTATTGGATCAGGATCATATGTCTTTAGCATTAAATTCTACTAAGGATTTAAAGAATTAATGCAAATACTTCTCAAATTCTTTCAAAAAAATCAAAGTACAGGGAATATATCCAAGTTCACTTTACAAATCCAAAATTACCCTTATGTTATAGTCAAGATAGACACACACAAAAAGACAACTGCAAGACAGCATCCTTAATGAAAATTGTTCTAAAAACCCTACAATCCACAATACTAGCAAGTCAAACAATTATGCTCCATGACCAAATGGGATTTACATCAAGGATTTTATGATGGTTAAACATATATACAAATAAATGTGATATGCCACACTGACAGGATGAAGGACAGAAAGCCAGATATAGTCTCAATAGTTACAGAAAAGTATTTGAATGAATTGAATATCCTTCCCCAGCCAAAAAATTCTAAAAATCTGGTAGAGAAGGAATGTGTTTTAATATAATAATTGTCACATAATAAGCCCACAACTGACATCATACTCAATGGCGAAATGTATAAAGACCTTTCTTCTAAGATCAAAAACAAGGTCATACTAAGAGAAATAAATCAGTTCCAAAACAATCAAAAGTTGAATGTTTTTTTTCTGATATGCAGAAGCTAATCCAATATAAGGGGAGGATTAAAAAAAAAAGAAGAAAAATCAGTGGAATAGACAAAGGAGAAGGGAAGAGTATGGGATAAGGAAATTCAGTAGAATGAATCTGACCTATTATTCCTATGTACACATATGAATACATCATAGTAAATCTTATCATCATGTACAATGATAAAACACTAATTTAAAAAAATACTCTTAAGAGCAGGAAGATCAGTAGAGTAGGGAAGTAGGAAATCGAGAAGGGAAGGGGGGAAAGGGGGGGTGGAAGGACGGAAGAGGAAGGGCATGTACCAAGGACAGAATTAGAACAAATTACATTCCATGCTTTTACAATTACGTCACAATATATTCTATTGTCATGTATAAAAAAACTAACAAAGAAATTTTTTAAAAAAGAGTACCCATTTTCATCATTTCTATTGAATTCAGGAGTACTAGAGGAGATAGAGCACTTGGGTAAAAAAATAAATGTAAATTGAAAAAGAAAAAGTTTCATTGTATTTAATCTCAGATGGAATGATTATATATGTAAAAACTCTGCAGACTACCAAAAAGAAAAAAAATCCTTTTAGATTTCATAAGCAAATTCAATAAATTTGCAGATATTAATCAACATATTAAAATATTATGTATAATTAATAATAAAATATTTTAAAAAGAAAGAATCTCACAATAGCAACAAAAATATGAACAAATTTAATTGATTAAGTGAAATTTTATATATATATATACATATATATATATATAGAGAGAGAGATAACTATAAAACAATGATGTGAAAAACTGAAGACAAATAAAAATGAGAATTTCCTGTGTTGATTGGAGAAATCAATATTGTTAAAATATGCTTGTAAGCCAAAGTGATCTAAAGGTACAACAATATCCATATCAAAATTCCAGTGGCACATTGTGTGGAAATAGAAAAATCAACCTAAAATTGACATAGAAAGCCCAAATCCCCCCCAAAATAAAAGGAAGATAATTTTTAAAATCCTGAAAATCCAAAACATTCATAATAAGGAAGAATGAGATGGATGTATAGCACTATTTAATTCCAAACTGTATTATAAAGCTATAATAATCAGCACAGTGTGTCAGGCACACAGACCAATGGATCAGAATAGAGAACCCCCAAAGAAACTCATGCACATATTGTCAACTAATATTTGGAAAGAATACCAAAAATACACATTAGAGAAGGGATAAACTCTTCACTAATTGGTGTTGGGAAAACTGGATACTTACATGCAACTGAATAAAATTGGACCCCTCTCTTATACACAAAATATATTACAAAATGAATTAAACAATCACTGTAAGTGTTAGGGTCCGTAAACAAGTCAAGATGGCGCCTGGCATTTTGCCAGGGGGAGTGGTTTGAGAAGTAATGTCAGTGAGCCATTAAGATGATACAGATTCCTTAATGACTGACTGCTGTGTCTAGATTATGTCAATTAAGTTAAGCTGTGTGTAATCATTAAGATGAGGATTCCTTATTGGTTGACTGCTGTATCTAGTTTATGTTAATTAAGTTAAGCTGTGTATTCAGTTATGTATATATACCACTCTGTCCCATAATAAAGTGGCTCCCACTCCTGCTCTATCAACCTTCACAAGTTCCTTGTCACTCACCCCCTGGTTAGTTTGCCCAGCCAGCCAGGCTGCGGCAGTAAGACCCCAAATTGTATGAAATCTAAAAGAAAAATGTAGGTAAAATGGTTATGACATTTTTCTTGGCAAATATTTTTTTAATATGACCACAAAAACAAAAGGAACAAAAAGGATTGCATAAAACTAAAAGTACCTCACATCTAAAGATTAACAAAATGAAAAGTCAACTTTTGGAGTAGAGAAAATATTTGCAAATCATGAATCCAATAAAAATTCATATCCAAAATATGTAAGATATACTTATAAGTCAGTATCAATCAAAAAAGTAGCTGTTAAAATGGATAAAAACCTGAATTGATTTTTTATCCTAAGAAGATATAAAAATGGCAGCAGATCCATAAAAAGATCCTTAATATTATTAATCATCAGGGAAATCTAAATCAAAATTGCCTTATACCCATTGTGATGTTTGCTATCAAAAACTCAAATATTGTCAAGGAAATAGAGAAGAGCCCTTGTAAATGGTTTGTATAAATTATTAAATGTTATGTAAATTGGTATAGCCATTGTGAAAAACAATCTGGAAGTTACCAATGAATTAAAATCAGGTAGAACTACAGTATGATTCATAATCCCACTTCTAGGTATACATATAGAGGAAATGAAATTGGTACATCAAAGAGATATCTCCAATCCCATATTTAGCTTAGCATTTGTCATTATTGTCAATAAATGGAAGCAACCTAAGGGGCTATTGATAGATGGACGAATAAAGAAATCATAACTACGTATACACACTCACACATTGAAATATCATTCAGATATGATAAAGAAAATTCTGCCATTTTCAATAGCACTTATGAACTAGAAGAACATTATGCTGAATGAAAGAAACCATACATAGAAAGTAAAATACCATATAATCACTCTTACATGTGGACTCAAGTCAAACTCTTTAAAAAAGAACAGAATTTTTGTTGTTAGTGGTTCATGGTTGGGGGAAATGGAGATATGTTTGTCGAAGAATATAGACTTTTGATTATAAAATGAATATATTCTGAGTACTTATGTGTAGCATGGAGGATATATTTAATAATACTGCATTGCATATTTGAAATTTATAAAAAAACATCTAAGTGTTCTTACTACATGCATATATACATGATGGTAATTATGTGAGGTGAAAGATGTCTTAACAGGATTGTGGCCATCATGTCACAATGTGTATGTATATCACATCATCAACTGTACATCTTAAATATATACAATATTTTTTGTCAATTATACATCAAACGTGGAAAACTTAAAATGTTTTCAAATTCCATAATATGTTTAATTTTGCAATATTTTCTCAGTCTTCACATTAATATTACCTGAAAACAAATAATATTATCTGAAATTGATCAATTTTCACTTTTCAGTTTATTATTTTACTTAAATAAAAATGGAATTATTTAATAATTTTAATCAAATATAGCATATTTGCTAAAATTTTCACGAGCACATTTGCTACTCTAATTAACTATATCTGTAGCTATCTCTTATCTGTTTGTCTGTATTCCTACAAAGATGTCTGGACTGATTATTATCTGATGTACCCAATGTTTATTTTGATATGACAATACACTAATTCTATATTGCTTGACCTCACTTTAATGTGAATACATCATTTTTACCACAGGGGAAAGAAGGTCAATATTAAGAGAATAAATCATATCATAGGTGGTAAAGAGCTTTAATTATATTAAGGTATGTGGATTTACTATTTTAAATATCTATAAAATTCATGGATATTCATGATCATTTAAAATTTGTCAAGCAACAGAAAGGGTAAAGGGAAACTGTGTGGACGGGGTGGGGAGAACAAAAACAAATGAGAATGATTTAATTGCTAGAGTTCTTATGATTTTAAAGTTTCTTTCCCACCAATCCTACTGCTAAAAATTTTAGCTATTAGCTTCTATTCCTGCTACAAGACATGGCAGTCCCAAAATATGCAGTGTACTTATTTTGTTCTAAGATCACCAGGAGATTCCACAAACTGTGATGGTACAGAGTTATTATATACTGTATTTTTTTCTATACATCCATATCTATGAAAAATTTCATTTGTAAGTAGTACACAGTAAGAGATAAACAGAAATAATAAAACAGAACAATGAAAACAATTTGCTGTAATGAAAGCATTGTAAATGTGGTCTCTCTCCAAACATCTCATTGTACTCATCTGAGATATGCAGGGCCTATGTGATGAGGTGAATTAAGGGGAATGACAGGCATTGTGACATAGCAATTACCTACGGGCTACTTGAACAAAGAACTGTGCTAAAGGACAGTCAATCTGATAATAGATAAGGTTCCTGAATAATGGGCAGGTGAGTCTATCACAGTGTGGATGATATGGAAAAAGGGATGATTCACACCCAAGGCAGGATGAAGGAGATGGCAGGAGATTTCATCACACTACTCAATCTGGTATGCAATTTAAAGTTTATCAGGTCTGTCTTTCTTTCCTTCTTCCTTCCTTCCTTCCTTCCTTCCTTCCTTCCTTCCTTCCTTCCTTCCTTCCTTCCTTCCTTCCTTCCTTC